GCATGGGTGGGGGGGGGGAGGGTTACTATAATATAATATCTTCTTACCTCCTCTGCTGCCAGTTCCATCAATGTCTCATCTCTACTTCCTCCAGACACACCTCTCGCCAGGAACTCCCAATTAATCCTCTTACATCACTTCCTATTGTTACCTTACATCACTTCCTGTTGGCACCTTATGTCACTTCCTGTCTCTTCATTCCATTGACAGGGAATGATAGTTTGAGGTTTTATTGTTTTCAGTAGTCTGACCACTGACAGCTGAAGTTTTCCTCCATGATGGTCCGTCCGATATTCATATGCGTGGCTTCTGCTCATTGAACATCATAATATTGTCCCCTAATCTTCCTCTTACCCTCCATAAGGAAGTTGGGAAGTCTATCAACATTGTAACTTTTGGCCCTTTAAAAAGTGCCCCTGACCCCACCCAACCACCTTCCCCCTCCACCCCAAATTCATACATATCTTCATCCAACAGCTGGAGACGGTGTTGGTGCTGAAAGTCTACATTGTCCTGGCCATCCCCGTGCAGTTCAGCTCTATAGACTTCTATGGGACCATCTCTGTCTCAATTCGTCTTCGGCTTTAGGAACCTATGAGGTTGTCTCCAGCCTCGGGACATCTCTGGTCCTCTCTGGCCTCAGGATGTCTCAGGTTGTCTTTGGCCTCAGGACATCTCAGGTTGTTTCTTGCCTTAGGACATCTATGGTCATCTCCATCCTTGGGATGTCTCAGGTTGTCTATGGCCTTGGGACATCTCAGGTTGTCTTCGGCCTCAGAACATTCCAGGTTGTCTCCAGTTTTGGGACATCTCAGGTTGTTCCTTGCCTTAGGACATCTATGGTCATTGCCAGCCTCAGGACATCTCAGGTTATCTCCAGCCTTGGGACATCTCAGGTTGTCTCCAGCCTCGGACATCGCAGTTTGTTCCTTGCCTTAGGACATCTATGGTCATTGCCAGCCTCAGGACATCTCAGGTTATCTCCAGCCTTGGGACATCTCAGGTTGTCCTCCAGGCTCGGGACGTCTCAGGCTGTCTCCATCCTTTTGACTTCTCTGGTTGTCTTCGACCTCAGAACATCTCAGGTTTTTATCCAGTCTTGGGACATCTAGGATTGTCTCCAGGCTTGAGATGTCTCAGGTTGTCTCCAGCCTCAGGACATTTCCGGTTTCCTCTTGTCTCGAAAAATCTCAGGTTGTCTCCAGGCTTGGGACATCTAGGATTGTGTCAAGTCTTGGGTCGTCTCCAGGTTTGGGACATTTTAGGTTGTTTCCAGCCTTGGGACATCTAGGATTGTCTCTGATCTCAAAACATCTCAGGTCGTCTCCAGCCGTGGACATCTAGGTTTGTCTCCGGTCTCGGGATGTCTCAGGTTGTCTCCGGCCTTGGAGCATCTGCGATTTGCTCTGGTCTTGGGAAATCCCAGGTTATCTGCAGCCATAGCATATCTAGGATTGTCTCTGTCCTTCAGATGTCTCAGCTTGTCTCCAGCCTTGGGATATCTGGGATTGTCTTTGGCCTTCAGACGTCTCAGGTTGTGTCTAGCCTTGGGACATCAAGGATTGTGTCAAGTCTTGGGCTGCCTCCAGCCTCGGGACGTCTCAAAATGTCTCCAGCCTCGGAACATCTAGGATTGTCTCTGGTCTCAGAACATCTCAGGTTGTCTCCAGCCCTGGGACATCTAGCATTGGCTCTGGTCTCGGGAAATCTCAGGCTATCTCCAGCCTTAGGATTTCTAGCATTGTCTCTGGCCTTCAGACGTCTCAGGTTTTCTCCAGCCTCGGGACATCTTAGGTTATCTCCGGCCTGAGGGCGTCCTTAAGTTGTCTCAGGCCTGTGGGCTTAAAGTCTAAGGGGCCAAAGCAATTTTATTTCAGTTGCACTCAGTCTTTAAAATTTGTGTAAATCCTCACAATGAATGCCTCTTATTGGCTCCCATTTGGCCTTCTAAAGCTCCCATCGAAAGTCTTATATCTGTCCAGTGACCGCAAAACAATGCCCGTTGATCCTGCCAGAAATCTTGTGAGCTGACCATCTCTGTGCTTTCCTCCGTAGGCTGACTGTTATCAGTTACATTGCTCCGAGCTATCTTTGAAGACTACAGAACACCTCCCATCTATGTTATGGAGAAGACCAGAGGGACAGAGTCCTAGAGTCCTGATACAGGAAGGTGAGTGAGCCTCGTCCCCCCTAGGACAGGAAGTCTGTCATTGCCTGGATCACCAGATGGACTTGGTGAAATCAGCCCAACGTTAGATATCTCCAAGGTGGAGGTCATTGCGGGTTCCTCAGCCTCCGATTTCACCAGTAATAACAACGCGGATAAAATACAGATTGTTATATAATATCTGAAACCCAAGGAACTGGATGCGGCTATTGCCGAGATAGGAATGGGGTCCCCTCCATGACTTGGATGGTTTTGTGATTTGCCGTGAGGTGGAGATGTTCCACCTGAATGAAGATCAAGCAGATCTGCGTCCAACCACTTAGAACCCCCCAAAAAATAAGGAAAGGAGTCCAGGGACTAAGGGAATCACTTTGCCCCTTGTATGATCTCTGATAGGAAGTCACTATATCGAGAGATCAAACAAGTTTCCCGGTGAGCGAGACAGTCATCTTCCACCTGGACACAAGGACAATTCTAGGACAAGACTACAAACGCCTCCCCCTCTCCATTATTTAGGGGACCCTTTTCATGTGCGTGGGTCTTTGGGCCTGCCCTGGAGTCTAGGGGGAGGATCTCTGGCCATTAGTTTCCTTCCTCCCGTGAACTGGGGGTCTCTCTTCTGGAGAGCCTCCAAACTAGTACTCGGTGGTTGAAGAATGGGTCCACCTGGCTTCGGCTAGGTGGACATGAGAGCACTCATGTCCA